TACAACAGTAATTTTGTGACTGTTAAGATAACTAGCGTTAACAAGCACTTAATTAAAATGTACAATAAATAGCCGTCTGCAGCCTTATCTCCTCTCCAGAGCGTCGCTGGTAGGAGGCTCCAATGCTCAGGCCGGCTGTTCCCAGCTCGTTTGCAGATTAATTGCTTTTCTGTCTGGCGAAGCCTGCCTCTTCTGCAGCCAGATTGTAAATAGCCAGATAGGGAGTTTATCAATCAAGGCTCTCTACCTCACCGGGCTCCCACACACAGTTCTCCTCTCACTGTCTGCTCAGTGCATGTGCTGAAGGTACATCTGAATAACTGATATCTTTTTGACCCATACGACTGCACAAAAGCACCTCTGTTTAAGCATGCTTTTCTGATGTGGCTGTCCCAATAGCACAGTATCATGTTACCAAAGATGGATGGTCATGTGACTTTTGGAGTTCAGAAAAGCATCGGGATCTCACACTCATCTCAATGGGAAATCATATTATGTCTGTCCATGTCATTACGGAACACGTTTCACTCTGTTTATGGCTATACTGGGTGTATACAAATGTATCACAGAGTTAATCAAACACTCAGAGCAAATACAAGTTGTAATGCTGCTGTGTGAGACACTTCCACAGTAGTGCAGGGTATTTACAGTAATAAACGTTAAGAGAGGTCGCCCGTTAGCTATCACATAACCTCACATGTGGCTGCATCTCCCTCTGACTGCTTTATAGACAGGGACCTGCAAAGCCACTTGTTTTTTAAAGGAAAAAGTGAAAGGTAATTCTGACAAACATATTGCCCTCTGCCCCTTCCCTTTCTGAGACGCCCCACCCACGTCCCCACCAGCCTCGCACCCTTAACCCCTTGACGATAAATCTGATGCAGAAGCTGTGAAGGGGAAGACCCCCTCGCTGGAACAGCCCCATGTGTCCTGCCTGACACATCCTGTTTGTGTAGTCAGGGAACCAGAGATCTTTACCACCATAACTCACCACTGGCAACAATCACTACAGGGCTATTTTTAATGAACACACTTCGTATTGTAATTGCAGTTGATTAAATGCTACTATTCTAAAAGCCACAAAATATGGCTCTTCTGTTCCAACAATGATGTTATTTGTAGATATTATATAGCTCATGGAAATAGTTTGAAATGTAGCATACAGGAGCCTGGGTAGTAGTGATGGGAGACCTGTGGGAACACCAGGTGGTGTTGTTGTGACATTTCGCAATACATGTATTGCCTAGTACGTATGAGTGTGTGAATGAGTCTCTGAGTGCCATTATTGTGTTATTTTGACTGGACTTTGGACTGATAATCTCAAATAAACATGGGAAAATTCGGGCCTCATGAGGTCCATCGCACGTTTCTATCCAGCTCGTTGGTACGATTGTCATTTTATTATCAATTGTCTTTTTATTATCAATATCAATAATTAGTCACTCTGAGTGAGAGTGTAAAGTAATACATAAAAAGGGATACATATAAATTCATGATTGAAATGCCCCTGACAGATTGATTTATATCAAGAGATTCTTTGATTGTCCTACTGTAGGGAAATTTCAGTGTTGCATCACTGGTTACAAAACCGTTGGACTGAGTACAACATACGTGAATATTGAGTATATTTAAAAAAATATAATACATTTTTATCTTTAGCTTAACCTACCTTGTGTCTGAGCAGGCATAAATAGTATAGATTTTTTTTTCATGAATTGGGTTTCTTCGTGTGAGATTTCATAACACTTTGAAGCAACTTTTGTTAAAGTTAAACTCATCATTCTATCGATGTGCAGAAGCATGTACTTTTCCCTTGTTTTGTCTATCTGAAGGCCAAGCTACATGGCACTGTGGCAGCTGCTGATTGGAGGTCTCCATGCCTCCGCTCTGTATAATACACTTGCATTCTGTTGTATCTGTGTTCGTGTGGTTCGTGCTGTCTCTACCATCGACAATAAAACATGTCTTCTGTCTGAATTAAAGACGCGATCCCAGACTTTGTCATCTTCTTCATTCCGTATGAAAATGAATACATTCGGAAACTAATATCACACTCTGGATGTGTTGATCTTCTTTTTAAATATCACAAACATTAACAGTAATAAAACGTTTTATGAATCCCACAGAAATACATTTTAAAGTCTGATACTTTTTATTTGGCTCTCTCAGCTAAAAAGGTTTCCGAAATTAATAGATAATGACATATACTTAAATTAAACATAGTACTGGGTGAAGCTCTGACTGTCAATCCCCCAACCTAGAAATGGATTAAGGGGAAGAAAATGGATGGATATATACTTAAATGTATCAGTAATAAAATTAAGTTGCCCCAGTAGAATTGCAGGAGTATGGGCCAAATGCATTGGCAACATTTCCTTCACCTTTACTTAGTATCATTAGATAAAAAAAACAAAACACATATTGTTTAAAGCCTTATCAGTCATGAATCCTGCCAAAAATATTTTGCCAATCTAAATAAAAACAGCTTTTGACCATATGACATCCTCCAGCTTCTTCCACAGTGAGAATCAATGTTTGTTTTTTCTATATATGGCTTTTTCAGCAATACAAATATGTAAATGAGTCAATTCAATGTACTCATTTAATACCAAACTGTAGACATAGACCTGCAGATAAGCACATGTCTCACAGGTCTCACATAGAGTCAGTGCAGGTGATGACTGATGATTTGTGCTCTCAGTATAAATCCTGATGCTCTCAAACAGCAACAGTAATTCAAGGCTGTTTATACTTGCCATAAATAATATGCTCCTGTTATTGATTTCTGATGCACAAGGGGACATCTATGGGATGGTGGTAGTATCCAATGTTCACTTTTGTGGTCAAAGTTGTGACACAAAAGTGTCACAAAAATATCAACAGAAAAACCCATTAGAAATAAGTAAACGTTTCTGGAATTTAAGTTTTCAAAAACAGCTTAAAGCGAGTGTTTCCAGGAGACCGGTAACTTGAAAGGGATGAAGATGACTTCACAAAGGGCCTACACTGAACTGATGCCAGTTTTTGTGATTTCCATGCCAGCCATCCCAAAATGTTCTCAATAGGATTATTGTAGCTCATGGAACATACATGCTGGTCCAAATTAGTAACGTGGGCCCAAAGCAGACCGGCGTTACTGTTCCATCAAGTAATACCTTTTTGTTCATCTTTGAATGGCCAATGTTTTGTATTCACTTTCAAAGTCAACATGAGCTGTACTTATGGTTTGGTCAGATGCTACGAGGCTGCAGTCAGCACCCGTTTGGGTCAAGAACTCGCCTGTGTCTTGGGGGCGTCTATAACCCTCAGGATCATTTGAGAAACTACACATTATCAAGACATGTGAGTTAGGGGCATTAACGCGCATGACTTTCTTGGAGCAACACCTGGAGCTCAGATTTTAGCTAAAAAAACAGAAGCAATTCCCCAGTGATTAAAGGTGGGCACCATGTGCTATTGTCACCCTATGAGTGATCAAGTTGTTGATTGGAGTGTTTTCTGCACCCATGGGAGGGACGGCAAAATTGATGAGGTTTAATTGGTCTGTCTCTTGTCAGCTCTCATTAGTCCTTCATTTAACACTATCTGATGGTGTGAGTCCATTGCACCTACATGGGCCTAAATCTGTGAGTCACCCACATCCGCACTCACACTATGTTTGTGTGTGAGATGCAGGTGATGTATGTGCGAAGGGGAAAGTGTCTCTGGGAGCTGTTATTGAATTCTAAGTGTTATCTGGGCTCACCTTTAGGTGTGATGCTGGGGATCAATACAGAGGAATTCCACTGGAGAAAACTACTATCTCTCCAACCAGCTTCATTTCCCCAGTGCATTGCTGTGAAACATTTTTTCATGGCCACTTGTTGGGGTTGGTTTCATTTAACAGCTTAACTGCTGATAAACCTCAATCTAAATACTATAGGAGGCATAGACAGTGGAGCAGTCTTAATAGAAGAAATGTCAAAATATAGAAAACTGCCACAAAAACTTGTCTACACAAATGAAACAGTTTTGTTTCATCAAACAAAAACGGCATCAAAATCTTAAATAATGAGTTACTTGGATCAATTGTCACTGCTTTGTGAATCGGATTTTGAATTGTTTTTTTTATAAATTAGAATGTAGCTCCCCTCCTTCCCATCATGCCTTGTCCTGTGAGTGACAACTGTTAAGATGCCTTTGACATCACAGTGCGAAGTGACATGACGCACGGGAAAGCTGTGGAATTCACCTCCCCTGTTTGCTGATAACTCTGCCAGGTCTTGGGTGTCAGTCCAATGATGGCCTAAAAGTCATTAATTTTAGCCTCCTGAGTGGCTGTTGTAACAGAATACCAGCGCCCCCTGTGCCCCCTCAGCAAGGCTCCTAAATATACATTTATTTTTGGAGGGAGTCCCCCTCATCAGGATATGATTGATGTCGTCTAATCGGATGGCATGCAAGTGAAGGTCTAGTGTCAGAGCTCTGCGCTCTGACTGGGCGGACGGTGTAAATCTCTGCAAGGGTGCTTTGTTGAGGTCTTGTCTTTGGTAAGGATCTCAGAGATATGATACGCAGTGCTGTTGCTGCCTGTGTGGGTCTATCTTAAGACTCCACATGGAGGTCTGGCATTCAGCTCAGTCTCTGTGGGTTTGAGGGCAGGCAGAGAGGGCTGCTTGTGGCCTATAGTTACTCACCATGTGCCCCTGTTCTATTCTTGCCTCTGGATGGTGCAAACCCATACACACATCTAGATAAGCAGTCCTCTGGCTTGGCTTTGACATTGGGGTAAACATTTTCTTCACAAGCCTTACATAAACACCGACTACTATTTTAATATTTTTACATGCTGGGGTACTATTGACAGTTCAACCATATAAAGGTCACCAGCCTATTGGAGCCATGGATCAACAACCTTATAGCAGAACAAACATGGGATTCATAATATGGGCTGGTGTGTGGAAGATTGATCTATGGATAACAGCTTTGTTTTAAAATGATGGAACGTTTATTTGCCTTACTTTGCATTACCCAATCTCCGGCGGTGCCCCACTGTGACTGGGTGCCACCAGCAGGCTGAGTGGATGAGCTCTGTGGGGGCAGATCCTGGCAGCACCTGGGGCATGGCAGATGGTTGAGGGGCACAAAGGGACTTCCTGGTCTGGATGTATTTGACCTACAGTTTAGAAACAAAGAACAGAATAGTATTCAAATGTTTGTTTTTTAAGCATATTTTCAACTCTAGGCAGTTTATCTTTTTAAAAGCGCATGGCAAATCTCCCTTACAGAGATTTAGAATATTCCCAAAATAAATGTTTTGTTCTGTCTCACATGTTTGGCATTGTATGTTTTAATCTGCAGTGATTTTTAACTAAATTAGTTTGTGTAGCCACTGGCAGCCATTTCACAACCTGATCATTAACAGAATGAATAAGCTGAAGAACAACCTTTAATGATAATTGGATCATTTTGGCGTAAGGGAAAGGGTATTTGAGATTTAATGTATATCGCACAAAAACAATAAAGATGCCACAGTTGTAGTAGGATCATATTGGTTGAAAACAATGTAATACAAATATCCATTTACATGATATAAACAGCTATGGTAATGCCTTGCACCTGAAAAAACATTAATAACAACATAGTCACTTTAAAGCATTAGGCCCCACTTAGATTAGTTCAAAATAATCATTCTTAAACAGAAAACAATCACATATTTGCGGTTAAGAAATACAGGTATTACGTCCTGAAACTTTGACTTTAGTAATTTCTTTGCTCATGGATTAGGTACTGAACATTGCGACCTTATTTGTAGATTTGTAGGGCTAAATATATAAGTAATAAGCAATGTTTATTTTGTATAGCACATTTCACAGACCAAAGCGCTTCACAATATAGATATTAAAAATACATAGATTAAAAAAAAGTAAAAACACAAAAAACAAGGAAATGTCGCACTGAACACAGAACAGTGGCTTTTAAAGATATAAATGATAACATGTTGAGACCTATACATGCGTCACTCAGTTGTATGTTTTTGATGGCGATGGAGAAGAGAGAACATGCAAACAGAGGAGATGTTGGAGCAGTGTTTAAGAGCAGAGTGTGAGTCCTGGAGGGTGAATAAGCAGGTTGAAGGCTGATAAGAATAATCAGTCCCTCAGGCTCAGGGAGGCGCCTCTACCATCTTCAGCATCATACCCCCATTCACTTTTCATAGTGCCGTTCAGAAGATATAGTGACAACGGGGCTAAATGATTAAAAGACAACATTACATTATTTTTTAATACATACAAAACTGGCTTAGACTTTTTGCACTTCATAAAAAAATCACTTATTGACTCACCTAAGACTAATTTAGATGTGTTATTATTGTTATAAATGCAGTTATGTTTTATTTTATTTACCATTCACTCTTATTTGGTATATTTTCACTTTTGTTATACCAATGTTAGCAGAGAAGAAGAAATAACCTAAAATACATCCAAAACTAATACATCTGGTTTGAAGGTGGTAATTTACACATTGTTTTTGTTTGTAGAATAAACAATCCCTGGAGGGAAACATCTGTTGTGATTTTGGGCTTTACAAAAATACAATGTAATTCAATAAGCTAAAATAATATTTAAACAAAACAATAATACTATAAATGACACATTTAGGGATGACAATATCAACTTCAGCAATCCAATCATTGCAAGAATATAAATATATGATTAAGATTAGATTTTTCATTCTCTCAAAAGTCTGAAAAGTTTTGTCATGGCCATGTTTAACTTGATAGAGGTCCGGTCAGATGTATGTTGGGCCCCCAAAATGGGAAAGTAGCAGGCCACCAAATCTGCATTATTTAGAAGTCTGTCTCATAACAAGTAACTAAAGAAAATAGAGCATTAATGAGAGCGGTATGGCAGAACCCGTCTGACCGGCTGTGTGGTCATAATATAGTGCTGCATCTGCTGTAGGTGATGGCCACGGTGAATATGAGGTGAAGCAAGGAGCCACAAGGGTCAACTGTCATTTCCTGAGAAAAACTCTCATTTTCTCCTCACAGCCACGGGGCAGCGGACACCCACACGTCATTTGCAAAGCACCTATATTATATGAAAAAGGAAATCCCTCCACCTTTACAGAAATTCATTACTTATAAATAGGATTCATGGCTGCGTGGCAGGACTGATCAGTGAACCAAGCAGCTATTATACACATTCTATTTTACAATACCACATATGGCATTAATGACCCTTGCAATGGCTTTCAATGATAAAACTCAGACTTAATTCCCATGACATTGCTTTTCTTTGACGAGGTCTTTGAAAATGTATTTTTCTTAAAAAATGTAACAGTTATGTAACCAGACTATGGTAACCAAAGTATGAATATAAAAATAAACCATATATTTTTGATGGGCTATGATTTTACTTGGTGTCCACAGTACATATTCACAATCAGCATTCACATCTGGAGCAGTACAGTGGATTGTGTTATTTATTTTTATGTTTAAATGTTTTTTATATGTGATAAAATATTGTTGTATTGTACAGATTGTCAAGTTTATTGATTTTTAAAGGACTGAGGGCGACCTTCACCATCGACTCCCACTGTCTGCTGTCGTTGTGTCCTTGGCAAGACACTTAACCTCTAGGAACACCAGCCACAGTGGGGCGGCTGCGGCTGTAAAGTGTCAAACTGCCGTTGTGTCCTTAGGCAAGACACTTCACCCCCATTGCCTAGAATGAGTCTGGTGTGTGTGTGAATGGTTGGTGGTGGTCGGAGGGGCCGATGGCGCATACTGGTTGCCTCACTTCTGTCAGTGTGCCCCAGGGCAGCTGTGGCTACAGTAGTAGTTTATCACCACCGTGTATGGAGTGAAAGAATAATGACATGTAAAGCGTCTTTGAGTGTCCAGAAAAGCGCTATATAAAACCGATGCATTATTATTATTATATGTGTATATGTGTGGTCTGGGACACAGATAATTAAATAAAACCAGATTGTATATGGATTTGTTTACTCTAATTCGAACATAATTTTTATTCAATTTACACACAATTTTGACTACAAAGAGTCCCAAACCACAGAGGCAAGTGTTTTCGCAATATTCCAAATAGTTGTAAACAAATTTAAGTATTACTGGACTCTTTGAAATTACATATAAACATGCCTTTCTGCTCCTCCCCCTGAACCCTCGCTCCTTTTCATGTCTGTTTTGTTAATACCATCAGCTTCCAAATTAATTACGCTTGAGCCCTACCCTGTCATCATTGCCCGCCCACTCTCATCATGACCACACTTCAGAAGAGCTAAAAGATTGACTGCTTATCACAGCGATTAAAGCCTATGTAAAATGGTGTTTGTGCAAATGGCCTCTGCATCTCCTCTCTGTGCCTGGGATGTGGAGATTTGTATGGCATGTTAGTCACACCCAGCGCTATCAGCATCTCTGTGATGAGCATAAGCGAGGCCCAAGGCTCGTCGCGGGGACGGTGTCGCAGATGGCACACAGTCAGGGTCTCTTAAAATGCTCTAAAAGATGCCGATTAAGTCCTATCCCTGTCTGAATCTTCCATCAGATGCTAACATGGGGCAAAGGACAAGTTTGTCTCGGTCTTTAGCTGTTGACTCGTGCCTCACTGAATGGTGAATGGCAATATTGCAATCGATGCTTCAGAGAAATCTTGGTCTAATCCTGTTATCCTTCCGTTTCACCAACCTGGAAAGCAACAAGGGGCGGGATCCTCAAAGTAGGCAGCCAAGAGACCAGCACAAGAGCCCGCCCTATTGCTATGAAAGAGGGCTTAGTTTACGCACAATAGGTGTGTAATTTCAGGTTTTTGTTAAGCCAAAATCCAATCACATACATGACTGCAAGATCATAGAGGAATACAACAGGAGCAAAGGCCCATGAGGTATGGAGGAGTCAGCACCCCAAACAAACATATGATGTACGATGTGAAAGTTAACCTGTGTGTCAAAGGTGGAGGGGGCACCTGTCTCAGAAAGAAACACATCCAATCTTTCCACCAGCTCAAGAGCTTTCGGCCTGCTTTTATTTGAACACCGTTACAACTGTGGACCCGGTTAGACTGGTTTGGTACTCGATTCTGTACTTTATTTTTGTTACATTTTCTCTATGTACAGTATGTTGACTTTATATGATCCACTTGTAACCCTTTTATTGATGTACTTCGTGGGGGCTCAGTAGCAAAGCTTGCAGCTGAGGTGATACATAGATACTGCATGTCTAAGTAAGTAAGTAAGCAATCTTTATTTACATTATGCATTTCACGTACCGAGGTCACACAAAACACTTTACAATTTGGTTTATTTTCCCTTCACTCAACACACGGTGGTGACAGAAGCGGTTCTGCCATTCACCGCTGACCAGACCTTCCAACCATCACCATTCATTCCTATTGTACATGTTATTTTTGGTAAAGGAAACAGGAGCAGCCAGAGGAAACCAGAGCAGACACAAGGAGAACATGCAAACCCCACACAGAACGACCCCATCTGGGCCAGGAATTGCAACCAGCACAAACACTGTCTGCTGTCAAACCAAAACAACACTGATGCACCAAATGAATGCGTGTGTTGAAATGACCAGCATGCTAACAGCACATAAGAGTGACTTGAGCACATACCATTTGTAATAGTTTGCTTTTTTGTTGCAGCATCATGTTATTGAGGAGAACTTAATTAAATTAATAAATCTGTTGAATATTTGAAATGGTTGATATTCATAATGTATGAGTCTACAGCAGATGAAAAGTAAAATGAAAAACAGTTGGTAATCACCAGTACACAAATTCAGGACAAGACAAAATTAATTTTTAAATGCTCCAGTCTATTGGTCTCAGTACAAATTGTATGTCGGGGGCTGTTGAATTAATGTTGTGTATCTTGACCTCATTCTACGAAGACTCGTTTGAAGTCGATTTGGGGCCGAACCACAAAGCTTAATGCTATTTAGGGCATCTCATAAAGTAATCTAATAAAGTAATGCTAATCTGTGGCTGCACACAACACATCATGAACTTATCATCATCATAATTAGTGCTAGTCTAACAGTCTATAGTGCACTTCTGTACAGATGACTTCATTAGTTATCTCCAAATGTAAATA